TTAGGGTTAGGTTTAGGGTTAGGTTAACGGTTAGGGTTAGATTTAGGTTTAGGGTTAGGTTTAGGGTTAGGTTTAGGGTTAGGGTTAGGTTAAGGGTTAGAGTTAGGTTAAGGGTTAGGATTAGGTTTAGGGTTAGGTTAAGGGTTAGGATTAGGTTAAGGGGGGTTAGGTTTAGGTTTAGGGGTTAATTTTAGGTTTAGCGTTTACAGCGTGCTTCTGTCTCCGCGCTGTTGATGACAGCTACGCAGTTTCATTGAGCGCGGTTTCGTCGAACGTGGTTTTGTGGTGGAACCTAGGACAAGGTTCTTCCTGTGTTTATGTAAGCATCAGTGGTGGGATACGGCCGAGAGGCCCCAGTACAATTGTACCGGTGCCTGCTGGGAGCACCAGGTACTGTTCCGGTATGGTGTTCTGGAGGGCCCACCCTCCTTACCTGTATTTAACCCAACTGGGCCATTTGCGCATGCACAGGGAGCGTACAGCGACTGCGCGATGCTCCGCCGAGCAGCTGAAGCATCATGAGCGGATGCCCGGCCCTGTCGCAACGTACTGGTTGCGACGGGATCCGGAACCCACCGCTGGTAAGCAAGCACACAAATGCAACACAGATGGAAAGCAAAAACCTATATGGAGATTCAACATATGTGTAAATTAACAGAAGAAAATGTGGATACCTCCTATGGACATTATTAGCAAAGGGCTTGGAAAGAATTTTGGAAGCCATGTTCTGTATGGTTTCCATAATTTATTATTTAATTTTTAATGGTTTGTAATCTTTATGGGGTTGACCAGAGGAACAGGACTGAAATAGTATATTGTGCCCATTTTCTGGAATGAGACTAAGTAATGGTGTTTGTAATATTTTGATGGCTGATTTTAATATTTGGTATATGATCATGGAGCAGAAGTCTGAAATGTTCATTTCTCTCCAGATGTGGAATTATTAAATAATGTTTGTCTGCAAATAATCAAATCCCACTAGTGGTTGGGTAGGCATACTTATTGTTGCATTTGACCACATCCTTACAAGTAAACCTACAAATAACTGCAAGCAAGCTTGTACTGACATGCTGTGGTTTGGATTTAACACTGAAAAAATGTTTTGGGATAAGCACACATGGTACATCTGTTGGAATCTCCTTATAGAAGCTATGGGTTTTGTTTTCTGGGGCTTACACACTAGTTGTGCAAACCCAGGAAAATCACACCAGGAACACTGACATGTATACTTTAAATACCTTGTCCATTCTTTTACTGTCTTCATAGCTCAAATGCATTTTTCATGGCATTATATTGTACGAGCCCAGAGAAAGATGCAACTGCTTAACTGCCAACTGATCTGGAATGCATCTCCATTCCATTTTGCATAAACTTTTTTTACTTCAGATCCAATATGTACAATACAACTCCACCCCACCCCACCCCCGAACAATGCCTAGCATTCTGCAATTTCATGCTGGCCATATAGGACAGCAAGCCCATTGTCCTACATTCAACCTGGAAGCTGGTGTTGCTAATTTGTTTGTAGGTTAGTCCATTTTGGGCTGAAAGAATGGAAAACAGTGTTCTGTCATCAGGATGTTTATTTACATGTATGGAAATCCTGCACATTGTTGGCTAGCAGATGAGTTAGAGGGTAAATTTGTGTAGATGCCAGACTGAGTTTGGATTTGCATACCTCTGTGCAGAGTAGACTTCCTGTTGGAAAAATGAGGGATGTGAGCTGCTTTTGATTTTGCTATGCATATGAAATTCTGAAGAAGGGCAACTACTCAGTGAGAAAGTAGAGTAATAGACAGTTGGGATCGGCAACATTCAGTGAAACAATCACTAAGTGAAACTGCAAATGCTTATCTTCCTTCAGCTGTCCTTTCCTTTACAGACCCGAAAAGGTCCTTAAACCAGAGGCTGGTGGTAAAGTTACTTTTGCATCTTAAACATAAGCACTTGCTAAACGATGCAGTAACTAAGCAATGACTACCTATGATATGTACTTCCTCATAGCACATCTCTCCAAAGGAACCATTCTTTGCTAAGACCTTATTTGTAAATAGCCACATTTACTTTTGTGATCCTATAATCTCCTGGTTACCAAGCTGAGAAGCTTTTATAAATGGGCTTGTTAACACCTTTAAAAAATGATGGATTGTTCTCAGATCACCAAAATTGAATGCTGGAGGTATGTACTCTTGGATTCACAAGCATATTTAATTCTGACTTAACGTGGAATGTCACTTCAGCTGTTTTGTTTATGACTTAAGAGTATTGTGTGAACTGTAGATTATTTAACAAATGGTAGTTAAGGGAACTATGATTTCAAGCAATGTGCAAACACAGACACTAGCTAGTCTTTCCTGAGCTGTTTACTTTCATTTCTTTGTTTTCAGTACCTAGAATATAAGTACAATTTTTCCGGTCTACAACTGTTTACCCCAAAGTTAGGGATAATTTTTAGCCTTGTTACTGGAGAGGTGAAATCTTGAGGAGGTCCTTTCTGCCTGCAGTGCCTGTGATCTGTTCTTGAATTTGGATCGTTGAAGACTCTTGAGTAATTCAGAATAAGTTGTTTAGAAGAAAACAAACAAGCTCAGAGACCAAAATAGCCCCCTAATTTCAACCCTGAGCTACAAATATTCTCCTTTATTGGCAATATAAGTTACAAATATGACAATGGTGTGTTTTTTAGGGACATACCAAAAGAAAAATGAAACACCATTATGTTTCCCAAAAAAAAACCTATGAAGGACATTTAGGCCATGTAAAGACATCTCATTGAGCTGTTGGATGAATAAAATAAGATGAAGATTCACTTCTTACATGTTGGAGGAAAAACAGAGGTCTCATACGTGCTAAGCAGAAATAATGCTTCCAATGCCAGACGACAAAGAGGAAATATTTGCTAATTAGTACTATTTGCTTACCTCTTTAGAACACAGTTGCACAGAAACACAAAGGTGGAACGTTGCAGCTTGTTCCTTTTACACGTGTGTTACAGCCACACATTTCATCACTCTTTCCATCTTTGTTTCCTTCCTTCTCCCTGAACTTTCAGCAAATCTGGTTTTGCACCAAACAGTGGAGCGCATTCATGTGGGCAAAAAGTATGGTGACATCCCTCGTGGCATCTTCGTAGTCAGAGGCGAAAATGTTGTCCTCCTGGGAGAAATTGTAAGTCAGCAACTGGTTTTTCCTTTTTTTTAGTGAATTACAGGCCTCTTGGAGCAGAATTCTGAGAGTTGAAATTCTTACAGCTTAAAGTTGCAATGGTTTGAGAAACACCACTACAACTTAATTCTGAATTGATATTAGCTGACCTAAGTCGGGATTACAGGCACGTAGGTTGATCTGTCTGGAGGCCACAAGGTTGGGGAAGGATTTTGATTTTTCTTTAGGAGTTTTTTATTCTTTAAAAGGTAAAGGTTTCCCTGTCCCGTTGTGTCCAAATCTAAAGCACGGTGCCCTTCTCTGTTTCTTGACTGAGGGAGGCAACATTGTCCCAAAGACATTTTCAGTGGTCCATTGTCCAGAATGGCTAAATGCCAAAGGAGCACAGAATACTGGAGTGGTACCTGTCTTCTTGAATTTGCATGCTTTCAAACTTCTAGGTGGACGGGAGTTTGCCCTGTTGCCCGGAGCTTGGGTGGGTCGCAAACTTGGACTGTCAGCTCTCCAGCTCAACATCTTTAACAACTGAGTAACCCCTCACCCTCCGTTTTGCTTTATTTTATTCTTTATTGTATGATAAATGGTTTCTTTTGGTGCTTTTTTTAAATTGAGAATTGTTTGATAATGTGGAATAGAACAGAGGCACTAAACATACCTGTACAAATTCACAGCATATGTGTTTTGTGTCTCAGAGGGAGGAAATTGCTCTTTCTTCCCAATTTCAAGCCCTGAAGTATTGATGCTTTTTCTACTGCAGGACCTGGAAAAGGAAAGTGACACCCCTTTGCAGCAAGTCTCGATAGAGGAAATCTTGGAAGTTCAACGGGTAGAGCAGCAAACGAAGCAAGAATCAGACAAGTTAAAAATGCAAGCGCTGAAGGAGCGGGGCCTCTCCATTCCAAAGGCTGATACATTAGACGAATACTAAGTATTTACCTGAACTGTCTCCCAAAGATTGAGGAGACTGTGCACTGAAGTGCCCNATATATAAGCTGCCAGTGTGGAGTCCTGCCTACTTTTGCATGTGATAATTACAAACATACACTCACAAGTTTAAAAAAAGAAAGTCCACAGGGGGAAGTCAAGCAGCCTGGAAACCTCTCATTCTGATTTGGGGTATATTGAAGAGGTTCCCTGTACCCATAAACCATAGGCTACTGTTTTAGGCTATATGGTAGCTATAGGTTGGTTGGTTTCTGTGCCCAACCAAAAATCAGATAAGCTAAAACAACAGAATTCTGCGTGCCATGGGGCCAAATGCATCAATTTCCCCAAATCCTGGCTTTTGTTTTGCAAATTGTGCGCTTCTTCACTAGCTTTGTTTACTTCTCTGCTTCTCAAGAGTGTAATGCATTAATTTTCCCTCCTGTCATTTCAAATTGGTAGAGAGAAAAAAGAGGGGTGTTCCATTTGTATGACTATCATTTTATTTAAGGGATTCAACTTAAAAAGATCCTACTTGAGACTGAAAAAGCTGCTAACTCATTAACCATGGTTTGCCCATTGAATCTGTAAGGACCCATTGAACCATCTACTTCTAAACCAGCAAGTTTATAATAGAATCTTGATTGATCCTATATCTAGTAAGTTAGCCTCAACTCATTCCTTACAAATTGGCCTGTTGTTCAAGAGCTCACTGGTATCTTAACGATAATACCTTGACAACATTGTAGTAGAGGTGTGTTATGGCAAGCTGGTTTTGGAATTCTGGGAATTCAAGTCCACACAGCTTGAGGTTGCCTACGTTGAGAAACACTGATCCATGGTGGTGAAAAATCAGGAAGAGCCTGGTGGCACTTTTTCCGATTTAGCAAATTTTGTTAACAAGCATCTGCCTTCCTGAGTTGCAGCTCAGTTCCTCAGATGCATAGATTGGCTATACTTGGTCTTTAGCATATGATGAGAACATCATGAAGAGAAGTAAACATAGACACACAATCCATCTAACTATATACCCTGTTTCCCTGAAAATAAGACCTTCCCAGATAATAAGCCTAATGGGGCTTTTGAGCTCATGCGTTAAAATAAGCCCTCTCCCCAAAAAATAAGCCCTCCCTGAAAATATTGCAACACAGCAGCAGCCGCCACGAGGTGACCACATTCGTGGCCTCCTGCACCTCAAAAATAATAAGACCTCCCCGAAAATAAGGCCAAACGCTTATTTTGGGGGTCAAAAGAAAATAAGACTGTCTTATTTGTGGGGAAATACGGTACAAAACTTCTACGGGAATATATGGCAGTGGCCTCATAACTGTATGTCTAGTTCAGCTGTCCAGCCTCTGGAGATGTATCCTCAGGTTTTCTAAGGAACCAGGGAATGCTCATTCCTGGCTAGACTTCATACTGGTACTCCTTGACTGACAATAGTTCATTTCGTGATTGTTCAAAGTTACAAAGGCATTGAAAAAAGTGACATGATCGTTTTTTTCACAGTAACGACCTTTGCAGCTCTCCATGATCATGTGATCAAAATTCAGCTGCTTGGCAAGTGTTTCATACTTATGACTGTTGCTGTGTCCCAAGGTCATGTGATCACCTTTTGCAACCTGAGAAGCAAAGTCAATGGGGAGGCCACATTCACTTAACAATCGATTTTATCAAGGGCAATGATTCGCTTAACAACTGTGGCAGAAAGGTATGTAAAATGGGGTGGGGGGGAACTCATTTTTAATAAATGTCTCACTGAACAATAAAAACGAATAGTTTTACTGGCTGGTGAAATCTGGGAGTTGAAGTCCGCCAGGCTTAAAGTTGTCAAGGTTGGAGCCAACCTTTCCTTGGCCAAACTTTCAAGCGCTTTCCTTGCCAAACTACATTTCCCAGCATGCACTCGGGAATGTTTTTTTTTAAAGGTGGGACCGAGGCGATTACATAACTCTTTCGAACGTTGACACATCGGAGCCCTCCCTCTTGGGTGTCGACGTCACCAGCTCGGAGCCCCGCCCTCTTGGAACGTTTTGTAGCCAG